GTAAAAGGCTTAAACACCAATATCTATAAGCACATGGAGATGCCCAACATCATTAGTCAATGAACAAATGGATGTTAAAATCACAATGTGTATCATTTCATGCCCACTGGGTAACTATAATAAAAGACAATAAAGTGTTGGTGAGAATGTGAAAAAACTAACATTCATATGCTATTGATGGGAATATAAAATGATACATTTTACATTTGGGGAGGTAAAGAAAACGTATTAAAATTGGATTGTGGTGAAGGTTACATAACTTCGTAAGTACCTCAGCAGCAAAGCTGTTAAAAGAAAAATTAATCACTATACCACTAGACTTCTAGTTTATAGTATTGGGACAAGATAGACAATACCACAAGGACACAATCAGATAATCAATGCAGGACGTTCTGTAAGACAAATGACTTACATACAATGTTAATGACCAACAGACAAATGAAAAAGCATGGGACTATTCCAGAATTAAAAACTAAAGATGCACAACCAACCATAACGCATCAATACTGATTAGATTCTGCCTCAGAAAAACAAAGACATTTCTGAAGTAGTTGGGAAAGTTTGAATTTAGACTGAATATCAGTTTATGAAGTTATTGTGAATTTTTAAAGAGCGTCCAACTTCAGCTCAGGTCATGATCTCGTGGTTCGTGAGTTTGAGCCCCGCAATCAGGCTCTGCGCTGACAGCTCAGATTCTGTGGATCTGAGGGATTTGGTGTCTCCCTGTCTGTCTGCCCCTCCCCCACTCACACTCTCTCTCAAAAAAAAAAAAAAACATTAAAAAATTTTTTAAAATAAAATGTGTGATAATGGTGTTGTTTGGTTGCAGAATGTCCTCATTTTTAGGAAATGTTTGCTAAAATATTTAGGGATGAAGCACCATGTTGTCTGCAACATACTTTCAAATGGTTCAGCAAAAATAACTGTATTTGCAAAGATAAAGCATGGAAAAATGTAAATAAGTGAATCCAGTTAGAACATTCAAAGAGTTTTATATTACCTCTTCACAAACTTTTCAGGTTTGTAATTTTTGAAAATAAAAAGTGAGGAGAAAATTATATTCCTATATACCAGGCATCTAAATTATATGACATACCTAGGAATGAATATATATACACACAATGTATAAGACCTCTTTGGTGATAATAAAATTTTATTAAGACATTAAAAAGACTTAAATAAGAGATATCATGTAAATGGGATTAGAAGGTCTGGTATAATGATGTAAATTCTCCCCACGTGGCCTATAGAATCATTGGAACTCCAATTAAAATCTCAGTGTGTTTGGTTTGTTTAGTCTTTGGGAGGAAGTTCACAAGCTGTTTCTGAAATGGATATGAAAGAGCAAAGAAAGAAAAGCCACAAGCTCTTGAAGAACAAGGTGAAAGGACTTGCAGTACTATATATAAAAACTTTTTTTAAAAGATAAGGTAACGAAGAGAGTGTATACAAGCACAGGGAAAGACCAATAAAACAAACAGTCCGGAAGTAGATGTCTGCACATACCAACGCTCAACAGATAACAGAGAAGGCACTTCAAAGCAGTAGGGAAAGGAAGGTCTTTTCAATAAACAGGGCTGGGACAACAGACTAACCCATATAAAGAAGCAAAAAAATCACCTCCTACCACACACCGAAGACATTTCCAAGTAGGATAAAACCTCAATGTGGGGGGCAAAACTATAAAGCCTTTATGAAAAAAAATAGCAACCATATTCATGACCTAGAGAAAGAATAATTTTAAAGTGAAATATAAAACATGCTAACTGTAAGGTAAAAATATATTTGAACGTATTAAAATGTTAATATATCAAAAACACTGAAAAGACAAGCCACAAATTAGAGAAAGGTTTTGCAAGCACAACTCATGAAAGACTAGTATCCAGGATATAAATATAAGAATCCCCTGCAAATTATTGGGGAAAAAATTAACAAAATACTTTAGCACATACTGCACTCACCAAGCCAGTAAACATGTTGACGTTCTCATATGCTGTCAGCAGGAAAGTACGTCTTTTTGAAGACCAATGTGGCAATATATATGAACACATCAAAGGCTCATTCAGCCTCACTTGACATAAGGAAAACGCTAATTAAAACCAAAATGAGATAACATCAAGCAGCTTGGTAAAAATTAAAAAGCCAATACACCCTTGGGTGAATGTGTATCAGTACAAGGATCTCTGGGAAATAGTTTGGTATGACCTGGCAAGAATCTAACGAACCTGTGCCTCTCTGGTTCTACTCTTAGGTATATATCCTTTTAAAAGTGCATACTCTAGGGGTGCCTGGCTGGCTTCATTAGGGGACCATGTGACTTGATCTCAGGGTATTGAGTTTGAGCCCCATGATAGGTGTAGAAATTAATAAACTTAAAAAAAAAAGTGCATACTCTAGGGGTGCCTGGGTGGCTCAGTCAATTAAGTGTCTGACTTCAGCTCAGGTCATGATCTCACAGTTCTTGAGTTCAAGCCCCATATGGGGGTCTGTGCTGACAGCTCTGAGCCTGGAGCCTGCTTTGGATTCTATATCTGCCTTTCTCTCTCTGCTCCTCCCCTGCTCACACACACTCTCTCCTTCTCTCTCATGAATAAACATTAAATTTTTTTAAAGTGCATACTCTAGGGGCGCCTGGGTGGCTCAGTCGGTTGAGCAGCCGACTTCGGCTCAGGTCATGATTTCACGGTCCGTGAGTTCGAGCCCCGCGTTGGGCTCTATGCTGACAGCTCAGAGCCTGGAGCCTGTTTCAGATTCTGTGTCTCCCTCTCTCTGACCCTCCCCCGTTCATGCTCTGTCTCTGTCTCAAAAATAAATAAACGTTAAAAAAAAAAATTAAAAAAATAAAGTGCATACTCTAGAATACACATACAAAATATCCACTATTTGTAATATCCCCAAGTTAGAAACCACCCAGATGTCCAAACTAAAATGGAAAAATTATAATATATTCATATAATGGAATAAGCAAAGCATAGCTACATACAATTACATGGATGAATCTTATAAACATTTTTAGCAAAAGAAGTCTCAAAGTCTATAATATAATTTGACTCATAAATTTCAGAAATGAACTAAATATTTAGGGATGTATATTTGGTTGTAAAACTATAAAGAAATGAAGAGTAGGACTGGTGTTAAAGAAGAGAGAAGGAGTGTGATGGGGAGAATCATGTGGGAACTTCAGAGGTGTTAGAAATACTGTATTTCTTGACAGGGTAGTTACACTAGTGTTCACTTTATGATTTTAAAAGATGTGTGTATATACATACATACACGTATGTCTCATGTACTTTCTGTATATTCCACAATAAGAAAATATACAAATGGCCAGTAAATATGAAAAGACATTCAGCCTCATTAGTAATTAGGAAAACAAAAATTAAAACCACAGTGATCATCCATCATGATTTACCTAAAAGGAAAGACTGATAATACCCATTTTTTCTGAGGTTACAAAGAAATAGGCATTCTTATATGCTGTCAGTAGGAAAGTAAATCAATAAAGCCTTTTTGAAGAACAATGTGGCAATACAGACATCAATGTAAAACCCATATTATCTTGTGAATTATCAGTCCAAATTTCAAATACGCTAATGAAATATTAGCACATGTACTCAAAATATATGTACAAAGATGTGTACCATTCACTGCAGCAGTTCTTGCAGTAGTAAAAAAAAAAAAAAAATGAATGTCAATAAGGGAGTATTTACTAAAAGTGTCCATAACCATACTATGGAATACTACGCAGCTATTAAAAATTAAGATAAATCTCTATGAATTGGCATGGAAAGATCTCAAAGATATTAAGTGAACGACAGTCACAGAACAATACATACATAGCATAATCCTGTTTTTAAAATATAAATATGTACATATATCATTATATAGATGTATGAAAAACAGACTGCAAATTTAGACTCTAACCTATTAGCAGTGATTACCTCTCAGGAAGCAAGTGGTAAAGGGAGAAGCGGGGTAAAGAGGGCACTTTCACATCTTTCTCTATATAGTTGACCTACAAACAACTTGGGTTTGAACTGTGTGGTCTACTTATATTTCGTCAATGCAGGACTGTGTTATGATTTTCTTAACATTTTCTTTGCTCTAGCTTATTTTATTACAAGAATACATTATTTAATACATATAAAATATGTGCTAATTGATCCTGTTATCAGTAAGGCTTCTTTCTGGTCAATAGTAAGCTATTAGTAGTTAAGTTTTCAGGAGTCAAAAGTTATAGCCCATTTCCCACTGCACAGGGGGTTGGTACCACTAGCCCCCAAGTTGTTCAAAGGTCAATTATATGCACAGATATTCTATGAATCTTTTGTAAGAACATATCCATGGGCTACTCGCGTATTTTTAACAGGTGGCAATAGTGAACAACTGTATTGTTATTTATTCCATTCCAATGAGAACTGAATACATTTGGAAATAACTTGCTTTCAAAGCTAAGTCTTTTGTTGCTGGAGGGCCTGAGAGTGCCTATAGTTGTGTTACAGACCTGTCAGCCATCAAGTAATGAGTGTTGTGTAGGATACTAAGTGACTTGGTCTATTTCCAAGTTTGTCCCTTGAAAATATTTGCATACATTCTCCTATCCCAGCTTATCGGCAACAGCAATAATGTTTTCCCAAAGCACTTTGCTAAAGTAAATTCTGACGTACACATCAAATCACAAGCACAGCAAAGTGTAGATGTGGCTGTCAAGATGTATGTTTAGATCTAAATTAGTAATCACATCCTGGGTGAGTGACTTTTGGAATAAGTAGTTTGTATTTGGATTCATAAGGAAGAACCTAGACCCCACTAAAAATCCCAAGATACAGCTTCTCTTTATCGTCCTCCCTCCCCTCACTCCCAGAGCCCTTTCCAAATCAAATACTTTCTTATAGAAGTGGGAGAGAGGGATTCCTGATCATGAGTTCTTTGGAACTGGTAGTGAATCAAAATAAAAAGCACTATCAGAGTATTTATGAAGGAAAATCCAACTACATGCATACATTTTGGTGTGCATTTTATTTTTGATTGGAAACATGTCCATATGAAGGAAAATTGCCAAAGTATCTTTTAATCTTAAAAGCTAGGCCCTTGCCTTGCTGTGTCAGAGGAAAGCAAAACTAAGCCAGTAATGCTGGAGACATCCCTATTTCCGTATGCCCACTGACAGGAGAGGAGCTGTCTAGGAAATGCCTTTTGATTGATGAACAGAGGAGAATCTATACACATATTAAATACAAATGGAAACACATCAGCACACACAAGTCATTAGCCTGGTCCTCTGGCATCTACTAGCATGCATCTTCCAAGGATCTCTTATTCAATGGTGTAAGCACTTGGCCTCATTATGCCTCCTTATCAGCAAATACCTTTTTATTCCAGAATGGAAAACGAGCTGGGAATTAAATACATCCAATATTGATGCTTTATTTCTATAAGTCACCAATAAGAGAATGGATTTAATTTTAATACATTTATTTTTGTGTGACTCTTAATAAAACACTTTCAAAACATTCTGTACATTTCAAGCCACTTAGAACCGCATTACATTCTATAAACGTGATTTGTTGGGATGAGGTGCCAAGATGTCTCTGTACAAAGATGTACAATATGTACAGTCACTATAAGTGCAAGCTGTGCAAAGCAGTCTAGAACACTAATTCATGCCAAGGCTTAGAAAACATTTCAACACTTAAGACTAAAGCTTGAAACTGCGTTGTCGCTTTTTCCTGGGCAAATGATTACTTTATAAACAAATATATGTATATGTCATATAGAAAGAATAGTTTGACTCCTCAGCTCAGTCAGCACCATGCAGCTGACTGGATACATTACAGGGCTGCTCTTCGAGGCCCCTCTCTCCAGGGCAACCATTTTGCCACACTCAGTGGTTGTCTCATCACTGAGCAGCCGCCGCCACTGCCTTTGACTGAACCACAGCAACACTAGGAGCTTTAAATTTGGGGAGATAAAGGCCAAACTTGTTTTCAATGCCAGCAAAAGTGGCTGTGGCCAGTCTGTATCCACCGATGTGATCAGGATTGGCAGGAGGAAGGTCTGCGATGCGTGACTTAGGTGTTGGTTCTGAGCCAGAGGGCTTGCTGTTGATAGGAAAAAGCTAATGGTTAGTGCGCTCAAGACTGATGAGGACGGCACATGAGGATGGGAGAACACTTTCAGCCTCACCCATGTGCCACAAAGAGGAGTGTTCGTCCGAATAGTTCCTGGTCATCTATGCTACGTTTGTTATGATTTATAGCTGCTTGGAAAGCAACACATTCACATTTTTTTTGGTGGTCTCAATTTATAAATAGGTCCACAGAAAAAAGATCAGAAACAAATACACTTAAATATTAAAACTCTCTGGGAAACAGGACTATGAGTGACTTTCTCTTTTACACTTTTCCATTTTCCAAATTTTCTGTACTAAGCATAAATTAGTCATAAAAAGTTTATATTTTTCTTTTATTCTGACATAGTTTAAAAAGCTAACTTTTGGGGCGCCTGGGTGGCTCAATTGGTTGAGCGTTCGACTTTGGCTCAGGTCATGATCTCACAGTCTGTGAGTTCGAGCCCCACGTCGGGCTCCATGCTGACAGCTAGGAGCCTGGAGCCTGCTTCAGATTCTGTGTCTCCCTCTCTCTCTATGCCCCTCCCCTGCCCACACTCTGTCTGTGTCTCTCAAAATAATAATAAAAAAAAAAAAATTTAAAAAGCTAACTTTTTAAATAGTAAACTCATGAAGTATTACTAAATTTAAAGAGAAATAGAGAGAAATCTTACGTTTACACAATCTGAAAGCATAGAAAAGCCTGGAATTGTGAGACTACTATTCTTACTTCCTTTGTTTAAGTCCCTCTACTTCTTGGTTCAACAGCTAATTTCCTATTTGGCCTCTGAGCAAGAAAGGGGGTCAAAGGTTTATGAGGTGAAGACCCAGATACGGGATTTGATCATCTGCTGAAAAGCTGATAAGTACTTGCTCGGGTACAACCTTCCCCCCTCAGCAGATTCAATAAGTAGTTCCTTTTCTTCTCAGAACAGACTTCAAGTGGCCCAATTTCTGACCTAGATCTCACCAGTGATCATGTCCATGGGCATAACCTCTCTTTTTTTCCTGTTTGTTAGCTCTAAGAACACCTATACCTATCTAGTCATAAATTATGGTGAATAATGAAGTCTTGGAGGTATGAAAGGGCTTGATGGAGCCTTTGAAACAAAGTTCATTAAAATGTTACTAACACAAATTTACATTACTTCTGGTTAAAAGACCATATAATAAATTCAAATAATAAGGACCTAGATCCATGAAGCTCAGTATTTGCTTATACTAAAAAAGATAATTTATTCACATAACATTTTAATTTGCTGCTTGCCTTCACTTTCCCCAAGTAACTGCTTAATACTGTGTATGATGTCCCCCTACCAAGGTCTCACTCCCCTGATACTGAAGCTTCTCAAGCCCACTGTTTGTTTTATTTACTTTTTTTTTTTACATAGGCTTCGTGCCCAGTGTGCAGTCCCACGCAGGGGTTGGACTCACAACCCCGAGATCAAGACCTGAGCTGAGATCAAGAGTTGGATGCTTAGCCAACTGGGCCACCCAGGCACCCCAAGCCCACTGTTTGTTTTAAATGCACTGGTCCTGTAATATTCTCTGTCCTCCTAGTTTCTAATAGTTTCAAAAATGCCTTTGTAGGCCAAAGGCCTACTTTGATTTTGGTGCTTTCTTTTACAAGGAGTTGAATAGCTGCACTTACAGGCCTCCAAAATCAATGTAAAACCACCGCTGGAGAAGTTCATAGGTGACCAAGGTAACACCAAACTGGGGAGAAGATCGAAACACTCGAGCTGAAAAAGATGGGAGTGGGGATACTTAACATGGCTGTGGCAAAGCCGACGAGTGAGTAATGGGAGCAGGTCCCTAACACCAGACAGCCATTCTGTGCGGCCCTAGTCCCTACCTGCAGTCCCCTTCCAAAATGCTGAGGGCCCCTCTTCCCGGAGTATCTTCCTGAAACAGTCAATGACACCACTGTATGTCGTCTGGCCAGCACGGGCGGCCACTTGCAATCTTGTCTTGATGACATCAGCAGGGGTCACCAGAGAAGCAGCAGGCACACCTGTCAGGAGAAAGGCACATGTAAGTCATGCAAAGTACCTTAAAAAGAACAGACATACTGCTAACATCTAACAATACAATTAGCAACTTTAACTGCTCTAACTCAAAGTTTCTTAAATAGATGCCTGGGCACTCCTGGAAAAAAGGACACATAAGCCTACTAGCTGCTTCAGTGTGGAACAGAATTCTTTTTTCTTTATGAATTAGAAAAATCACTCTATACTGCATGATCCCAAAGAACTGTGACAGGAAAAAATGCAGCAATATTACCAGGATGATTCCCAAGTATTCCTCTTTAGGTTTCAATTATTTTACCTCCTTTTTTTGGTAAATAAGACACAAGTATTTATGTATATAGTAAGAAATGAGGACACTGTCCATTTAATGAGATGTTAAATGTACCTGACAACAAACCAGTGGTTTTTGCTGATTCTTGTCATCTTACTGTGCAAGGTGACTGTCAGTACTCATATCCACTCACCTGTTTGAGGGCTAACTCAAGAGTTGACTGGGACTCCTTTCAGACACGCTTACATGACAGAAGTTACAATTGGAGCAGAGGCAGAGGCAGCCAGGCAACCAGTTAAGGAACAATATGAGAACCGATCATCAAAAGGCCTTATTATCTATTCCCCGTGCGTGAGCTCCCTGGGGTCATGCTGAGATGGATCAGCAGCGGGACACCCAAAATGGATTTCACAACCACGTCTTTCACATAAAACAAAGCAGGGAATAAAGTGCAAGATAACCTTCCTCAGGGGGAAGATATTCAAATGGCCTGAATATCACTGAATCATCACCAGGCAGGTGGAGCTAGTGGACTTTGTGGGAGCCTGTTACAGGATGATGCGAATACCCCCCCTTCCACATGGCCCTGCACCGTATTCAGATGAAACAAGGAAAATTGCCTGTCTTTGGAATGTTCTGAATTCTAAATGTTCTCAGGCCCTGCCAGCAAGACTTCACTGGAAAAAAAATGAGAAAAAATCATCTTCCATTATGAAAACTTGACATCGAGTATCTGTGGGCAAAAAGTTGGTGCTGACAGTTCCATGGAAATGTTTCCTTGGTTCCATCAACTGTTGGCAAAATGCCTGTCCACGATTAGACTGTTCTTTGGCTGGTTTTTTGCTGCTGACTGGAAAGCACAGGCCAAAGTCTGGAGGGAAAATTTCCTGGCCCCATTTAAAACTGGGAGCCTTTGGTGAGTACCCAAAAGAGGCTGGATGAGCACTCAGTGCCAAGACAGAGCAGATAGTTTTTCTGGCTTTCAAATGTGCAGTTGACTGAAATAGCAAAGGCCAGAGGACACGGGATTTGGTAGACCCCAAATAAGGACTCAGAGCTCCCTGGAGAGTTTTTTTAACCATCACAAGTCATTCCCTGTCATCGTGGGCGAGGACAAGAACATGGTCCATCCCAACACCCTTAGAACCCCACCATATGCACCCCACACTTCAGGAAGTGCTCAGGCTGTTCTGCTGTATAGCCAGGGCACCAGAGGAGAATGAACCCAGTGAGAGCTATATGGCACCACGAGTCCAGGCATTTAGACCTACACCAGCATCTGGGGACTCCGTTTGGGTCTGTGTACACCCTTCATGTTTCTATCTCTGACCAGCAGTAATGGAGAGCAAACACATGCCTTTTCCTTCCTCTGTCATTTCTGAGTGCCGGTGCAGCCAAGGACACGTGGTCCTCCCCTACTATCCCCAGTCAGCTCCTTCAAGAGGAAGGCTAGGCCTGTGCGATCAAAAGAAAACATCTTAGTACCTTCCTGCATGTGTTAGGCTCCTCTTTCAGATGGAATTTCTTTTGTGTCTAATTTGGGATCTTAGACCAGATGAAGATTTTCATTTATCCCACTGACATTTTTTGAGCTCCTATTATTACCATGCTGGCCACAAAGGGAGAGTAAGGATAAAGAGAATAAAACTCCTCCCTGCAAAAAGCTCCCAGCCTAGTACAGAAGATAAAACTTACGCAAACAAGTATTATTAAAGAAAGTGTTAAAGGACAGAGAAGAGATGCCCATTTGAGTATGGGATAGTTTGCTGGGAAAGTACTGCTTACTTTGATCTAATTAGAATGACGGTAGAAGGAACATCGACAGTATCATGAGGAAAGCTCAAGTTCTAAGGCAAATCATGGGGACTCCAACATGCAGAAATAGCAAGTGAGGCAGGCTAGACCTGGGCATCACATAAGATACAATGAAGCAACTGATTTGATGAAGAATTTTTCCACCTTAATGCTTAGCTTGGCTACACCCAAGGTTTCAGGGGCATGGGAGGTGCACATTAATGATGAAAGCCCAATTTAGATGGGCAGATCTAATTTGGCTCTGAGTTGCTAAGCTGCATTATGCTGTTTATCCACAGTATGCAAATGTAATTAACTCTCATCAGAATTAGAGCACATCCCACAAAGGAAAAAAAGTGATCATATTTAAACTAAGTCAGATACAAACAATAACCTTCCAGAAATAAAGGCAGACAGTACACAGAGATTCTGTACTTCTTAAAGAGAATGGGGGAAGGGTTCTTTGGTTTAAAAAAGAAAATTCTAGTTACCTGCCATGGCTCCAGCTGCAAGGAGATTTATACCTCCCACGTGTCCATTTTCATCAGCCAGAAGTAGTTTACAATGAGCATAAACAGGAAAATAAATTGCAGAGAAGGGAATGTCTCGGAGGAAACACGCTTTGGCACCCTGTCACAAGTGAGGAAATAGCGCAAAACAGTTATGTAAACAGGGCTATGAATGCCCATAAGGGATCCAGGGTGACAAGTATTAGGTATTCCCTCAAACAGCATGGGGACTGATGTGGAATAGAAACGGGGGGCGGGGGGGTGGGGGTGGCGAGAGGAGCATAGACAAATATACATGGCTCAAAGTTTGAGAAAGGCTTGTGGACTCGAGTCCTAGAGTTCATTAAGTGGGTAATGATGTTATCCTGATAACTAAGAATTTTCTGGCATTTCCAATACAGATTGAGATTTTTTAATGTTTATTTATTTTTGAGAGAGAGAGAGAGAGAGAGAAAGCGAGCACAAGCAGGGGAGGGGCAGAGACAGAGGGAGGCACAGAATCTGAAGCAGGCTCCAGGCTCCGAGCCGTCAGCACAAAGCCCAACGCAGGGCTCAAACCCATGAGCCGTGAGATCATGACCTAAGCCAAAGTTGGACGCTCAACCAAGCCGCCCAGGCACCCCCAGATTCAGATTCTAAGTTTAAAAAAATTTAATTCTCAAACTTCCAGGCTGCTTGTTCCGTGTGGCTTTGGTGGATGCAATGGGGAAGGACATGAGTGGCAACAGACTTGGGAACCCAAGGTTAATAGCTTGATTCCAAAGTAAGCAGCAAAGGCAGCCCACAGTTCTAACAATTCACCAATTCGATCTACACAGCTTAGAACCCATGAAGTACCAGTTAAGAAGCTACAGACAATGGCAGTGGAAAAGAAAGGTGACTATTCTACAAAAGGGGAAAAAAGAAACCACCAATCTTCCCTCCTGGGCCCCCATGTCCTGAACAGCAGAGGAGGGGCAGGGGTGGGGAACTAGGACAAATTATTTTAGCGGAAGTTTCCACGGGAGTAGAAAGCTCACAATAAATGCCTCCCTCAGCTTGGTTAGTAGCCCATGCTATTCTACTGCCCAGGGCTTTATCTAGCCAGGCCAATACACTGTCTTTGGCACTTGTTTCCCTAATGGTTCTGTTTTCAAAAGACAAACTCCAACATTAAAAAAAAAAAAAATTCCAGGGGCGCCTGGGTGGCGCAGTCAGTTAAGCGTCTGACTTCAGCCAGGTCACGATCTCGCGCTCCGTGAGTTCGAGCCCCGCGTCAGGCTCTGGGCTGATGGCTCGGAGCCTGGAGCCTGTTTCCGATTCTGTGTCTCCCTCTCTCTCTGCCCCTCCCCCGTTCATGCTCTGTCTCTCTCTGTCCCAAAAATAAATAAATAAACGTTGAAAAAAAAAAATTCCAAGAACTCTCTGAAGAATGATACAGACAGAAACAGTATCAATAAATTTAGCTCTCAAAGGTTAATTCCAAAAAAAGGATGGAAATTGCGGGTGAAGGGGAGGGAATGTATACAGAACTCTCCCAAGATTCAAGCATCATTGGTTTACTGGTCTCCCAAGAGCCCTGTACCTGTGTGAATCTAACCTAGAGAAATTCTAATTTCTAATTTGCAGCTCCAGAAGCCAATTTACACATATCTACAGCAACAGATCTATAAATAAATCAGATGCTGTGGAAACACAGTTGTCTAATAGCAGCTAAATTTACGTATTCCCCTCTTATACCAGGCAAAAGAATGGAAAGAAATACTCTTCCTTGTTTAAGAAAAATAATAGCTTCTGCTCCATTACATCTGATCTGTAATGATGGGAGTAAGTATACCTGCAGGGAAGGAATCTGTTGACTGGCATTCTGCTAAAGTACAGTACACTCTGGTTTTTTTTTTTTTGTTTTTTTTTTTTTAATGGAATTCATTATTGACAAATCCTACCACTTAACTTCTTAAGACCTGAATTCTACCAAACTCTACTACTGTTTCACTGTGGTCAAATTATTAAGACAAACAGAAGCTCCTACTGGGAAGATAACAATAGAGATAACTCAGACTCAAAATAAACACAAGACTATTTTGAAGTCCTAAAACAGCCCAAAGAGAACACCAAAGAAACTTTTCCCAAACCTGTGGTCAAATAAAAGGCTGTGAGCCTAAAGCCAGCAGGTCTGCAGTGCTGGCCTCCCTGCTGGCAGCCTCATAAAAGCCTGAAGATGACAACAGGAGAGTGTGTTTGTATATCCCACTGCCTCTAATAGAAGTGTCCTGATTTCTTCTTGTTGTCTGATTTTGTACTCAAGGGACTACCCTGCTGGACAAAATTACTTTTCCAGTTTGGAGGGAGAAGCCTGGTTTCCACATTCTTTCACGGTTCTATTGAGTACATTATAAGCTGTCTACTGAGATAACCCAAGGGAATCTACCCACCTTATACAGACCAAAAAGTCCCAGGTCCCGGAGTACATTCAGAGCACTGACCCTGGGTCCTGTGGTGATTTCTCCAGCTACCTGCAGGCGAATCTTTACTATCTCCAATGGATTAGTAAAGATGACTTGAGAGCCGCCAGCCTGTAGGCAAGGGAGGAGAGACAGAAGCAGATTTCCAAATCAGAGACCGACTGACAGTGTAACCAAGAAAAATCCAGAAAAGCCTCTACATGGTACCACTTTACTCTTCCCTCTTCACAGGAGACTGAGAGTCCCACGCTTCGGCCAATAATGGAGGGGCCCACAGGGATGGTCCCAAATTCAAGTCAATCTATGTCTGGGTTTGTTTCTATCTGAAATGTCAGGAGTATTTCTCAGACCAGTTTTTCCAGAGTCAACTCAGCACCCAAAATGGCAAAACTAATAAACTCATTTGGAAAACAAAAGTGAAGCCAGATGAGGCAGTAGGGAGTTCCCCAATGAAAGGGAAAGTGATGGCAGAAGACTGGTTGGTATCTTTTGTAAGCTGGAGGTAAAATTTGGATCTACAGTTGTTTTTTTTCTTTTCTTAGCAATCATTCTTTTTAGCTCAGCCACCCATTTCCACTGCCGTGGATTGTAAAGCAATTAACACAACTTCGCCCCCACAGACGTGCCTTAAGTCAGAGGGGAAAAGTCTCCCATGGTTCAAATTCTAAAATATATTATCCTGAGCAAAACTCTGGAGACAGATACACAGCTAAAAGGAGAGAATGTAGAAAGACATGTTCAGTATTAAGACAAAACCAGAAAAACTGCTAGGAAGTGGAACCTCTAGTTACCACGAGTACAAAACTGGCAAATCAAAGCCACACTCCACAATGGTGGTGAGTGACAGGGATTTGAATTTGGATAATGAGGGTGTATTTGCATCTGAAATCTGTTAACTAGTCGAGGAGAAAAAAAAGAAGAATGTTTAACAAAACTGCTACCAACTTTTTTTTTTTTTTTTTTTTGGTTTTTGTAAGAAAGTAAAAAACGTATATGGGTGTGTGTATGTGTATGGATACATAAAAATACATTTGTTAAAACATAAATATATACATCTCCATGAAGTGAAAAAATTTCATTTACACATCTTCATCTGAACTGTAGCTGTTTATATTACACGATCATAACCATATTCATATAGTCATAATTATATTCTATAATTGTAACTTCCTGCAACAGCAAGTCACATGTGAATCAGGAAACAGGAAAGGCCTCACTGGGGCACTATAGTTCCACAGGTATAGAAATATTGCAAACAATACCCATAAAACCCAACACTCTACCTTCACCCCCATCCCTGTTCATTTATCTAAAACCCACAGTCCTTCCAGTCCTACTTTCATGGGGCAGCAAGTCTCAGCCATTCTGCTAACTGGCCGGAGCTGGAAACCCCTCAACTACGCCTGCTCCAATCCTGACCCCTCACTCCCATCCATGACATCCACGACTGCCAACACTGACGGGAGATTCCTTTCCACTTCGTGGGCAGCTTACTGTCCTGGATCCCCCAGGGCCCTAATCCCCTTTTTGTCCACCAAGCTCAGGGGGCGAGCAATTTGCTGTCTCTCTCTGGGTCTCCTGCAGCTCCCAAGTCAACAATCCAGACCACTGGCACACAAGTCCCCAAATGATACGTGACCCAATTTTACATGTTGATTTGCCTGTGTTTCCCTCTCTTTTAATCTGTTGCACTGCAGGCAGAAGGAAGCATTTCAATGTTTCAATCTAAGCAAACAATACTTTCAAAAGGATTGCTGGGTAAAAAATTATGTTAAAATGATAATCCAAGTAATTGCTCCTGCAGCTAGTATTAAAGACCAAACGAATTGAAAAAGTTTACTACTTCCCTGAAATCTCTTGTTTAAATAATGGTTGCAAAGACCATCTTTGGGAAAATGCACCTTACGTTCTCAACTAAAGCAGAATTAAACAAATAATAATAGAAACACAAATTTTGATTATAACCCCCAAACTTTGTCACCACCAGATGATGCCAAACCTTGGGTGATCCTCACATTAAATATGAACATCATGTTTAAATAAATACAAAGTTCTTCCATGTTTTTAATCATTAGTAAATTAAAACATCCCACAGAGCAAGAGTATTCCAACCAGCAGTCTCCCAGCCCACACTTCCTCCTCCCCGGCTCGCCACACCCTTCTGGAAATAACTGCCAGTTTACTGAGATTTGCACTCCTTTAACAACTCTTACATTTCTTTCTCAGTGTACATGTAACGTGTAACACAGTAACTGTTGTGTGCTTTGAAGATCTGTTACCCAGAATGCATACAAAGTCCTGACAATGCACTGGACATAATGACAAAACTAAACTGATTTGGATTTATACATACATCTGATAAGCGAGCATATAAACAACAAAGCAATGACACTATAGCAAGGCACATATCTATGAGTTTCATTCACACCTACATACTCTACTATATTTGAAGGAGGAAAACATCTAGCAATTGCACAAGTCTGTATATGCGGTAAAACTTATACTTTTGTATTTTATTATATTTATTTATATTCTATTATATTTATTAAAATTTACTTATATTTTATGATAGACCCAGGAATATGTAGGCAAATACTATCCAGAAACATTGAATAATTTAAAAAATAATAAAAATGACTATTTAAGTTGTCTAAAACTTTGGATATTTCGTAACAATTAAAGGGAAACACACATGGCAAATATGTGCTGTCCTTTTCCGAACTCTGAGATTGACCTAAACTGGGGACATGAGATGGGGGGATAAAATCTGCAGTTAATTCAATTGCTCTAGTAAGAAATCTAGTGACCCAGAACAAAGATTATGTTTTACCACGTTTTTAAAAACATTTTTGAAGTTTATTCATTTATTTTGAGAGAGACAGAGACAGTGTGAGTCGGGGAGTGGCAGAGAGGGAGAAAGAATCCAAAGCAGGCTCCATCCTGCCAGAGCAGAGCCTGATGTAGGGCTTGAACCTATGAAACTGTGAAATCATGATCTGAGCCAAAACCAAGAGCTGGACACTCATCGACTGAGCCACCCAGGTGCCCCAGGTTTTATCACATTCTTAATTGTTTCCACTCTGAAACACAAATATAGGAAAATATCATTTCTATTTTAAGGCTCTACTGATTTTAAGTAATATTATTACATTAAAAACAGCTTTTCACAGGGAAAAAGCCCTGGTTATGATAAATATAATCACTGAATATGCTGAATTTCAGAAGTGTTAAATTGTGAAATAAAAATATGATAACTTTACAATAGAATAAAAAGTATATTTTTACAAATATGTCCATATGTTTTGCTTTTTACAAATATGCAAATATGTTTACTACTTTAAAGAGCAATAAATTAAACAAAAGAATGTAAATGCCCAAGTAAGGAAAGAGTTAGGTGGAAACAATTATATGCTCTTGATCAGGTAATAGGATCATAATAAAATCATGCCAACGTAAACAAAACATAAAATATAGGTATCCACTGATGACCAATATGTCAGAATTAACCTAAGTTCATCAAAATTGGAATGGCTTAGAGATGAAAATATTGGTTGCCTCCTGGAAAGAGAAATGTGTACCTGAAAGCATATCCTATTGTACCTTTTAAATTATGAATTATGAAATGTATTAACTGCTCAAAAACAAAAAATAGAAAAAAATAATGAGAAACAGAACTGGTCTTAGAAACAATGACTTCTTTTATAGACTATGTCCTCTTTCACACATTCTTCCCCAGAATAAATTTGGGAATTTATATACGTTGAATGCATCTTAAAAACTAGTTAGCACTAGTTATCTGTGGATCCAAAACTTTAAACAGGCTTATCCATCTATTTAGGTATGAACATCAAGCAATCTAACCAAATATAGATAGTGATCTGAAATAACAGACACCAAGATATATAAAATTTCAAATTAAATTATGATGATACACAGCTATACAGTCTTAAATGGACACGGTCTCATCTGCCATCCTGCTGCTCCTTGTACTGATGCTTACATTAGATAACGCCACTCCATACAATACCTTTGAGGAACTTGTTTCACTCATCAAATCACCAAAATTAACTTCTAAACTTCTACTTGCTAAATTTCCCTCTTCAAATTTGCTGCCTATTTTTATAGAGAGAAGCAAGCATTGATATTAAAACTATGTTTTAGAAGCTTTCACTTTCAGTACTAAGTTGTTTCTTTGTTCTAGAATTGAATTACAAATGACACAATAAAAGAGAACAACTCCCATTTTGAATGAAGGTTATCTATATATAACAGAAAGAGAAAGAATGTAAACACTTCCATTCAATCTTGTGTCACATAAATTTTTTCTTAATGAGAAAATAAACCAACTAAAGTGGACAGCAAAAGTCAGGAAAAAAGGATGGAAAACTGAGATGTCACCAAGCCTCTGATGTGCCCGAGGCCAAGGGGCTGCACACAGGATCAGGCCTGCTCAACCTCCTGCCCTCACAATCCTGCCCCAGGGGCAGAGTCCACAAAGAGGCAGGAGGACCTGGCCCTGCTCGTGCCAAGTCTCCTGTTTACTTTCTTCTTTGATCTGTTTCTCCTGTAGTTTGGAAATATTTCCCTCTAACCACAATCTGAACAATTCATTATAAAGTCTTTCCTTACAGATATTGATGAAAATCTAATTTCAGTTTAAGGCCAGACCAGGAACTTGAGCAGATGTACAAACTATGTGCATTTAAAATAGCCAAACAAATAAAAATCACAGAATTAACTGTCATCAGGACTGAGTCCAGAAGTATAGGAACAGACAGTGACTCTGTCTCAGATACCATCAACCAAACATTCTTACATATTTTATAAAGCAATGGGAAATATTAATGGTTCTTTCTAAAATAGCCTAGGACCATGATAACTTAAAAGGACTAAAGTACAATTTTCTCATTGTTGAGTCACTAATATATGTGAGGGTGTTATGATATGAATAGATAAAACTACACATACCTCTCACAAGAGTAAAGGAAGAGTCAGAATCTGTGTATCTATCATGAGCCCCTCTGACATAAATATATATGGACTTTGAACTTGTACACATATGTATGTGCTCACATAAATATGCAAGCATCAAGTTGGGAACACACTGATTG